TTATTAAAAGATTTATGACGGTGTCATGGGCGGCGTAATAATTTTCCATCAGATGATCCGTCTACTGATTGGACTCCTGTGACTCCTGTGCCATAAATAAGACATTGATACTTTACACAAATGCACCATTTAAGCAAAAGACAAAACATAATAATAATCTACTATAAATAATACAATTTGTAAAATTTTACAGTTTTTTTTCAGTTTTATAGGAACGCTGAAAATGACAAATTAAAGTGAGAAATTGTGTAAGATTATCTTTTTTCAGGTTAATTCTTTTTCAGAAATTTTCTTTTTCTGGACTTTTCTTTTCGGAAGTTTTTTTTTCAGGAATTATCTTTTCAGGGCTTTTCTTTTTCAGGACCTTTCTTTCTCAGGACTTTTTCTGAAATAAGATTTCGACTCGATCCTCTATACTTTATTCCCACTACCGACATACTCGCACGTATTCACAAACGATGCTTGCTTAAGTGAAGCAGCAAATCAAACGCATAGCGTTGAATAGAGCTCTGTGATTAGTTTGTGTTTTTGCGTCTACGCGCTCTGTGAGACATAGTAATGTTTGACAAAATTAAAGGCACCATTTCAGCGAAAGACTTCAAATTTTCATTTTTTCAGGACTGTTCTTTTTCTGAAATTTTCTTTTTCAGGACTTTTCCGGAAATAAAATTTTGACTCCTACCTTACCTACCTTATTTCCCACTACCCACATAATATTTCATGTTGTACAAGCGATCATGTCAAGGAACTACCTTGCTCTATGGATTGACCACTCCATGGCATCGGATAACCACTCAAAGAGATGTATTAAGTACATCATCTCAATGAAATATAAAACGGGTTTGTTTTGCGAGCACTATAAAATCAATTTGGATTTTATTACATTAGGTTTATGAAATGAAGCTACAAACTCGTTCCTATCTTAAAGAGAGAGAGAGAGAGAAAGGAGTTTGTAGTACTATCTTACTTTAACCACGCTTTAAAATTGACAAACGTCAAAAATCTGTCAAATTCCATAGAAGAAACACCGGATATTGTTAAACATAGTGACGGCCTAATTTTTTTTTTCTACAACTGAACAGGGAAGTTATTGGCCATTAAAATGATGGAGTAATGATAATCATGCTGAAGCGAATGCTATGAAGACAAAAATAATGTGAACAAGTGTTGGAATAAATTAGCATCCTGAAATTCTAATAGTTAACATACAATAAACTAGTATTTAAACCAGCGCCTTAATCAACGTAGGTATCTGAAGCCACTGAAAAAAGTACTATTAAAATTAATTCAACATAGGTTTAGTCGCGTTCTTTTTTGTAGAGAGACTTCGTGACGGGCATATTTTTCAGCAGGCTACAGCAGCTTATTTTTCAGCAATTTTGCCTGAAAAATATTACAGTAAGCTCCAATAAGTCTTTGTGATACCCAGCAGGCGTATTGTCAAAATTAATTGGCTTCACACATTACATTATAAGCTCTCTTGCATTATGAGCCCCAATATGTAGAGTCAAATCAATGTCAAACCCATCCAATTCCAATTTCTTCAAAACAGCACTGAAAATAACTTTTTCAGTACGTGCGGCGTCCGCGCCAATTTTCCTTCGAAAAAAATCACTCGAACGTCAAGAAGCTATTAGCCCAAAGAGGCCGCACTCGTTTCAGCAGCCAGAAAAAAATAAAAGAAAATTCACGTTGACACTTCCACAGCTCGTTTTATTGGTGGACCGCAGCCGCCTGGCTCACCTGATTGGCCGATTTAAATGGGGCTCTAATGAGGGAAAAGGACGTGCGCCTAGGACCGACCGCGGGCAATAGGCGAGAGTGAGATGGATAGTCACTTCTCGGGTACTTACAGATAAAGCAAGCGTTAACGGTGGGCGCTAAGGAAGTCATACAGTCGATNTTTTTAAAATTTTAGTTTTTTTTTTCAGTTTTATAGGAACGCTGAAAATGACGTGCTACAAATTAAAGTGAGAAATTGTGTAAAATTATCTTTTTTCAGGGTTGTTATTTACAGAAATTTTCGTTTTCAAGACTTTTCTTTTTCAGGACTTTTCCTGAAATAAGATTTCGACTCGATCCTCTATACTTTATTCCCACTACCGACATACTCGCACGTATTCACAAACGATGCTTGCTTAAGTGAAGCAGCAAATCAAACGCATAGCGTTGAATAGAGCTCTGTGATTAGTTTGTGTTTTTGCGTCTACGCGCTCTGTGAGACATAGTAATGTTTGACAAAATTAAAGGCACCATTTCAGCGAAAGACTTCAAATTTTCATTTTTTCAGGACTGTTCTTTTTCTGAAATTTTCTTTTTCAGGACTTTTCCGGAAATAAAATTTTGACTCGACCTACCTACCTTATTTCCCACTACCCACATAATATTTCATGTTGTATAAGCGATCATGTCAAGGAGCTACCATGCGCTATGGCTTGACCACTCCATCGGATACCCACTCAAAGAGATGCCTACATAATCTCAATGAAATATAAAACGGGTTTGTTTCGCGAGCACTATAAAATCAATTTGGATTTTATTACATTAAGTTTGTGAAATATACTACCTATCCGTATAATAATGTACCTATCGTATAGAAAATGTATAATGCAAATCCCCGTGGACAAGTGTTTGGAAAATTGGACTCAACACCTAGGTTTGATTCGAATATGAGACATATAAAAATTAAAATAACTTTTTTTAACCACAACTAAAGAGGGAAGCTCTTGTGAAGTGATGATCATGCCGAAGCAAATGCTATGATGACAAAAATAATGTGAACAAGTATTGGAATAAATTAGCATCCTGAAATTTTAATTAGCATAAGTACATTATACTCTACCTACTTGTATTTAAATCATAGCCATAATCAACGTATAGTAGGTATCTGAAGCCACCATTGAGTTATAATGTACTACACTAGTAATATTACCTCAATGGAAGCCACTGAAAAAAATACTACCAAAATGAGTTCAACATACCTAGGTTTAGCGCTTTTTTTGTAGAGAGATTTCTTGACGAGCGATATTTTTCAGTATGTGGCTGCTGCAACACAGTGAAGGCCACTTGTGATTCCTGAAAAATAAAACATTTCAGTATGTTCAAGTAAGCTGCAATATAATGTGTTTTTGATGCTCAGGAAGCCTTTTTTCTAAATTATTTGTCTGCACATATTGCATTATTAGCTCATGAACCCCATTACATAGAGTCAAACCAATGTCAAACCCATCCAATTTCATTTTCTTCAAAACAGCACTGAAAATAACTTTTTCAGTACGTGCCCAATTTTCCTTCGAGAAAATCACTCGAACGTCAAGAAGCTATTAGCCCAAAGAGGCCGCACTCGTTTCAGCAGCCAGAAAAAATTAAAAGAAAATTCACGTTGACACTTCCACAGCTCGTTTTATTGGTGGACCGCAGCCGCCTGGCTCACCTGATTGGCCGATTTAAATGGGGCTCTAATGAGGGAAAAGGACGAGCGCCTAGGACCGACCGCGGGCAATAGGCGAGAGTGAGATGGATAGTCACTTCTCGGGTACTTACAGATAAAGCAAGCGTTAACGGTGGGCGCTAAGGAAGTCGGATCAGTCGATGCAATGGATGCGTGGGATTGTTGCGAAATGGTCAATCGTAATTTTACTAATGATTTAATTTTACTAACAATTTTGTTTGTATTATTTAGAAATTAATAGGCCGGGGACAAAGACGTATTTTAAAATAAATAATGGTTTCATTAGCTTATGTTTATAATTTTCGACAGATAATTAATAGGTAGGTATCTACTATGAGTAATTATTTCCTATCATTAAAAATTATGGTAAGCTATTAAAATTTACGTGATTTGACATTAATGCTATAGATCAATCAAAACCAGTTTATAGAAACAATAAAATTATAGCATGTTATTTATGTAAATTCCATTTAATCCATCAGACTACATTTTGTAGCCAAATAACATCTATTATTACAACTACCTACAAGCTACTCTTTACCTCGATGTGCCGTGTCGTCTTAGTACCTTATGTATGACTCCAAAAATAACAATCATGGTATATGTTTTTCCTAATAAAATTACCTTCCATCATCAGCTCACCTTAATAACCTGAAATAATACAACTGTTGGTACATACGTACCTAAAATATTTATGAAATTATCCTCCAACTCCTAAGCGTTAAGGAGTTGTTCTTTACTACTGGAGATGGGCTGGAGGACGTAGCGTGGGCAGGCTTCCTACTAGGTGGACCGACGATCTGGTAAAGATCGCGGGAAGAGCCTGGATGCGGGCAGTTCATTGTGGAAAACCTTGGAGGAGGCCTTTGTCCAGCAGTGGACGTCATTTGGCTGAAACGAACTTTAAAACTACTATCACCTGTTCATCATGATAAGCAGATGACCTGATGCAAACACTTGAATAACTTTAGAAACTATACGTTTCTATAAAATTAAAAGAATTATCCTCCAACTCCTAAGCATTAAGGAGTTTTACCTTCCATCATCAGCTCATCAACATGAGATGATGACTTCCAGACGCAAATACTTGAATAACTTGAGAAAAAAATATGAAAAACGTAATTAAATATATGAGGTTTGTCCTCGATTTCCCTAGGATCCCATCATCAGTTCCTAACTTGGTAACAAAGAGACCACCTCAAAAGTACTCTATCGAACAAAAAAAAATTGAAAATCGGTACAGAATTGACGAAGTAACCTCGAAACAAAAACATACAGTTGAAACATAGAACCTCCTCCTTTTTTTAAGTCGGTTAACAAGAGCTTAATGTGTGCCAATGCAACGCAGCATCACTAGTCGCATCGGCATGACCCGCGCGATCAAATCGCATTCACGTAAACATCTTCGAGAAAAACTCAACGATCCCCACTACTTACACTACTTCACGAGCTTTTTTAAAAAACGACCGCCCCAAACTACCGCTGTCCTCTTCCCGCCCCTGCTCGTAGTATGGGCTACTCTGTGTTGTCGTCCTTCTCTAAGGCTTAGCGCTCGTCAAGCGGGCGGTAATCTATCACGAAAGTTTATTCGGTTGAGAGACGTAATAGCGGTGAGGCGAGAGCTACCGCGCGGTGAAGTGTGGATGTGCATTTTCAAAAATGGAATCGAAACTGAAAAACTTCAAGGACTCGTTGACTTTGCAAGATTGTGAGAAGACAAATTTGAGCACGCCATTTTCGATTAATGACATTTTGACCAGAGAGAACGAAGGGAAGTACTGTCAAGAGAGTTTTGGCGCGAAGATGAGTTTCCTGGCGAAGGCATCGAGCTGTTATGCCAATGAGGAGTTTCCGAAGAAGGAGGTTTTGGAAAAGAGTTTGAAGTATTACGACGACTGCAGCAGCTACAGAGATTACGCGGACGACGGCGCTTTGGACATGTCCAGGAAAAACAATTATCCAGTCACAGAACTTTCAGGTGAGTTATATAATGTATAGTTTCCAATTTTTTGTGGTGTGTTCTTTAATTTTGGACTTTTCTTGCATGACTCTTTATTATTGTCATTAATTCTTGAATTACTCTACCTGACAATTTGTTGTTTACTTAACTTTGTTTAAGTATTTGTTTATTTGTTGTCAAACAAAAATGACTCATCTGGGTATTGTCGAGACAGATTTAATTGTCAGTGTTATAGCCTACTTATTTTAGTATTCTGTGGTGTTATTGTCAAAGTTAGAGTAATTTATTTACGTTTGATTTTTGTTCTGTTTTTTTGACATTGATTTTATTTTATTTTGTAGAATAAGTATTATTAATTTATGCTTGCTTAATTTATAAACAATGTATTTTTATAAGTTCATGTTGTGAATTCCAGTGCCAGCTGTGGTAGCGGGTTCGAATCCCGCCGAGGATAGGGTTGCCAGATCCAAAAACACAAAAGTCGGACGCAGTGCTTCATTTGGCCGGACATTTTACCTTAAAAGCCGGACATGTGCAATTAGTGTCATAGCTCATCATCAGTCGTCCAACATCCTGATGCGTGCGCTTCGTAGCTTCGTATTATCCTGTGGCTCGATTTTCGCCTGGCGCGGCAGCTAAATAAAAAGCCTAACAAAAGTCGGACAGGCCGGACAACACAATATTTGGCCGGACAAGACCGTAAAAAGCCAAACAACCTGGCAACCCTAGCCCGGGGACAAAATGTTAGTGCGATGAGCACTAACATTTAATTTTGTACCTGGAGTTTACTCTACTTTTTATGGAGGTAGTTAGGTATGTTGATGCATGTAAATATTTCAGTTACAAAGGTACTAATTTTATTTTTATGGGTAAGTAAGTAAAACTGAGTGCTTGGATAAAATATTGGTGCGATTGTTGGAAAAGTCCAGTTATTTATTTACCTATAGTTTAACTAACTTTAGCGCGTGGATTTTGGTGTAGGTATTACAAAATGTCTTATCAAAAATTACAATCGCATTAAGTCTTAACCCCCTAAGACCCATTTTTTTTATCTGTAGTTATAATAACCAACTGTCAAATGTATGTCAAATTTAATGACAAGTGGTTAAATATCAGCAAAATGCGTTTTTCGAACGATGGATAGCTTGACTTTTAATTTTAGACTGGGTTGCATGTTACTCTAACTTTAACAAACGTCAAAAATCTGTCAAACTCCGTAAATAGCACCGGATACCGTTATAGCTACGTTTAAAGTTAGGTGGTGCAACTCAGCCTAAGTTTTTGTTTTTTGACCATTGGTCAGTCAATTTAATTAGTTACGAGGTGTGATAGTAGTAACAGTTCCTCCGTGGTTGAGGATTTCGGGTGAAGCTCGCTTCCACCTTCGGCCTGATCATCACTTACCATCAGGTGAGATACAGGCCAAGAGCTTCCAGGTTGTGGGTAAAAAAAAATATTTTACCTATTTGTGGATTAAAAAACTGGGTCTTATGAATAAAAGTTACACGTGGGTTGTGGTTTAAAGTGACGTTTATTATGGTAATTACATTTTATACCACTAAGGGCTGTTTATACCATCGTCGGATAAGTTTTAACTGAAGAATAAGTAAGTTTGGCACATTGATAGTGTCAGTATGGGAAATATGTCAAAATGTCAATTTTGTTCTTCAATTAAAAGTTAGTAGAGTGTAACTTTTTATTATTACCTAAGGGGGAAGGGGGTAACTAATTAACTACTCGTACCTGTTTGAAGTAATAAAAAAATATTACTTCAAACAAGTACGATAAAATTTACTTCTTGCAAAAGTAAGAATTTTCAGATTCAGTCTTTGCGAAAAAATTAATCCCCGTGAAAACTTTCCTCCCCTTTTTTTCATTTCCTAGTTATTATAATAAGAAAATACGCATAATCGTATGTCTCCTAAAGTATCTCATAATATCTTCAAGTAAACCAAAATCGCTAAAATCAAGTGGCAGTGGGTGGGGCACATAGCTCGAAGAGCTGATGGCCGCTGGAGCAGGAAAGTTCTTGAGTGGCGACCACGAGCCTCAAGACGTAGCGTGGGCAGGCCTCCCACTAGGTGGACCGACGATCTGGTGAAGGTCGCGGGAGGTGCCTGGATGCGAGCGGCGCAGGACCGGTCTTTGTGGAAATCCTTGGGGGAGGCCTTTGTCCAGCAGCAGTGGACGTCTTTCGGCTGAAACGAACGAACGAACGAACGAAACCAAAATACGTCATCAAATTGGTCTTATTTTTCCGATTAAGTATACTAACCTACTTAATTATTTTGTCCAAACAAAAAAAAAACAAAAATTTTTGAATGCAATGTTGTTAGTTGTTACAATGTTTATAAACAACTTTTTTTTAGTTTTGTAATTAGTTAGTCATTGTATTGGTTTATTAAGAACTTTTATTGGCTTATCTGAGCTTTGTGTACTTATGAATTCTGTCTTTAATGACTTTCGTCTTCGACAATACTTAATTATTTACTTATGTAAGCGACTTAAGTATGTTTATTTAATCATTATCTCACATATGAGTGCTACCTGTTAAAAATCATAATTTAATTGACACGCGATTTCTATTGAGGAAAAAATACTCGTAGAAAAAAATACCAAAGACAACTCAATATGGTTTTAATTTTCGATATTAGATAATGTTTTACGATATTCGTATTATCTCACCTTAATACGTACGTAACTGTCGTTAGCTAATTATGTGTATAAACTTAGTGTTAATGACTTCTAATTACTTACTTTCACTAATGAAATGAAAAATCTTAATATTTCAACAAAAAAATGACATGTCGTTAAATACCATGGATGATTTACATATTATATAAAACCTCAACCCGTTTGTAATTAGAAAAACAATATAATTCTAATAAATACATTATAAATAAACAAAATACTTAATCGATTTGTGCAAATAATTGTAAATATTTATTGCTACTGTGGAATGAAGCTTTGTGTATGCCGCTCATTTCTTAATCCTTTACTTATTTAAACTGTTTAGTTTGTTTAAACGACCTTAATTAAATTAACTCGACTAACCAGGTAGGATGGGTTAATCATTAAGAAAATTAATTAACAGGGTTATGTATATTTTTGCATTAATGTAATTAAGAATGACATTGTTTTGGTTAGTAAAATGTAAGAAAAAAAGTTGTATGTTTTTTTTTTACTATCTTTTAATGTCACTTGCCAGTGTTTGTTTATTCGAAAAAAATTAAAAAAAAAACTAAAATCATTGACAACCTAGAAGACGTGAAAAAACAATCGCCATCGATTGCGTTCTAAACTTAAAATTTCAAATTAATTCCCTCCGTAATTGCGCGCCAACAATAGCGGGGTAATGGAGCATGCACACTGACCGGTCGGAAGGGTCGAGACAAAAACTTACAATAATGTTTTTTAAATGTTGGTAGGTTTAGGTATGTGCTATGTACATAATAATACGACTAAATGTCAAGTATGTTTATGATATAAAGTTATTAATTTTAAAGAGATTAAATAATATTTGTTTTCGTAATAATTCTTAATGAAGTAGCAGTAGGCAGTCTAGTCTGTCAATTTTCGGACGGACATTTAGGAATATTTATAAAAATGTTTTTTTAATTATTGACAAAGTATTTTAACTATTGACAATGTTAATTAGTTAGTTATACACTTTCTCCCTAATAATTTCTCTTTAACGATCTCTACTAGAAGCAAGGTAGGTATAATTCTCATAGAAAATAGCCATCAAAAGTAATTTACTTATCACCATTATTTATTGTATTCAATAACAAAAAGTGATCTGTGGTTTCGCGGGTGACGTTCTAAATTCAAATGGGGCCCTCCCTAATTACGGCGCGACAATAGTGGTGTAATGGAACGACGGCCGGCCGTGCCGCGCCGCGATGTCTCTACTTGGACCGTGTTCCCACTATGTTCGGAAAAAGGACAACCTATTGTTAAACAGTAACGTTACTCGTTATTCTGCGACGATAAAATATCGGATATGATACTGGGGGAAGAAACAATCTAAAACATTGCCAGCGTATAGCTGAAATGCTGATGATGAATGCTACTTTGATTAATTTGATTTTTAAAATCTAAATACAATTTAGATACCTAGTAAGTTATAATTTAGGATAGATCATTAATGGATTCAAAGTTTAAACAAAGCCGATACATTTGCAACATTTACAGTATCCTTCAAAACTGTAATAGAGGCTTTATAAACTTATCTTTATAAGTAGAGCCTAAACAAACGAAGAGTGTTTTGTAATGATACAAAAGAACTAGCACTAAGTTTTATAATAAAAGAAAGAAAGTAAATAAAACTCATATTCATACTTAAAAACTCATTTTGACCTACACTTTCATTTCTGGAACATTTCTTCACGAGAGACTTTAATCTAGATGACATCTGGAATAGCATCCGATAAAAAATCGGCTTCACCTCCACAGTGGAGCCTTAGTATCATCACTTACGATTGCGACACCCTCATTACTATAAGTGATGACGCTTAAAGCCATTCAGCCATTCAATTTAGTAATTACTACAACGGGAAAGTTTAGCGCGTGCCGCCGAGTGACGAATTCGAAATGTTTATGTAAATTTCTTTGATTAGCCACTTTTTTCGTACCCTTCAAACGTTCTTCGACGCTTTTCATTACTTAAGTTTTCTTTGAAAGCATTTTCGGCTCGATAAATGGCCTGCTGAACTTCGCTTTTTCATTTTACCTTTCTTTTGATTACGTGGTTGTATATTTATTGTAATACTTTTGGTTACGAGATTTCACTGTCTTATTTAACTCTAACTTATGGCATAATGACAAACCAAAGAGGACGAATAAAGGAGGAAGAAATCTTACTATTACATAAATGAAAACTTTTTTGCCAGATCTTAATTGACATAATTAGGTAAATAAGGAAAATCTAAGTAACTGATGATGACTCAGAGATTATTTTACACTTGAACTTGGTGGAATTCCTAAATAGAAATGTAAAAAGTAAAACTTACTTTGAACTCATTAGTGCACACAAAAATAGGTGCCTTCCTGAATCAGTTCACTTTACATCCCCGTAAACGACTGAAACTTGCCACAATAGCGTCTGCAACACGCAAAAACACAGTTACGTCTAATGCCGCTGTCCCGGTGACAATTCGCGTAATGGATCCATTGTGATCACGTGACCTGCCGGTTAATTGATTCGTGCGGTGTGAACGCTCCCTAATGAGTTTGGTGCGGGTCGGTCGAACTTTGTCCTTTTTGAGAGAAAATGCTTCCGTGGGAAAATTCGTGCTTAAAATTCCAATAATTTCACCATTATCGTTATTAATTTATTAAAATGAGGAGACCTACCTACTGATAGGTAGGTAATATGAGAGCTTTCTTCAATGATTACAGTTTCACGTACGAGTTATTATTGAAACTTTCACATGAAGTGAAGTTTGAATAATGCAAATGTTATTTTAAACTACAGTTAAATAACGACATGCGTGTAACTTTTATTGGTAAGGGGACTAAGGGAGTAAATCCCTTTCATCATCATCAGGTCATTTATAGTCTCCACTGCAGGACCCTGACCTTCTCTAATGTATTGAGGCAAATGCTACACTCCCCACACCAGCCAGACGGAGTAGGGAGGAATCTATTTAGTACCAGTGAATCAAGACAATAGAAATCAATATTGTTACCGCTGTCTCATCTGACCACTTATGCTGAGTTGCATCACCTAACTTTAACCGTAACTATAACGATAACCGGTGTTTTTTGTATGGAGTTTGACAGACTTGACGTTTGTTATGGTTAAACTAAGATGATGCAACCCAGCCTTAGGGTTCCACGAGTTTTTTTTCACAAATTACTAATACTCCCGTTAGCTCCTCGTACTAAGCTAAATATGCTTGTGTCACGAGTGAGCTCACCACAATAGTCGAGCGGCGGCGGGGACCAAACCCGTGTTTCCCGGATCACGAGTCAGCCGGTCCGACCCCTTCACCGTTCGGCTATCGTGGCTTTACCTATATTAACTGACCAAAGTAATAACATCTCTCTTTGTTCCAGATGACTACGACTCCCGTTCGTCCACCACCGGCTCTCCTCTACGACGGCACTCGTCTCCAAGCTCCGACCTCGGCTACAAGCCCTTCCTCTTCGACAAGGGCAGCCCCCCGCCCGACCCCCGCGCCCCCCGCGACTCCCCTACCTACCCAGACTACACCCAGAACAACGCCCGAAAGAAACGCTCCCGCGCTGCCTTCTCACACGCACAAGTATACGAACTAGAACGACGATTCAGCCAGCAAAGGTACCTCTCAGGCCCAGAAAGAGCGGACCTTGCCGTCAGCCTCAAATTAACAGAGACGCAAGTCAAAATCTGGTTCCAAAACCGAAGATACAAAACGAAGAGGAAGCAGCTACAGATGCAAGAGAATGGTATGCTAGCTGCCGCTGCAGCGGCCGCTAACCATGCCAGGAAAGTCGCCGTCAAAGTATTGGTTAACAACAACGGACAACCCAGTCTACCTGATATGAAGCAGTACCAGAATCCTATGTTAGGCAAAGGAATAAATCCAGCTTTATTCGCTTCTCCAAACTTACTCGAAGGTTCGCCGATCTTGAAGCATTTTGCCGGAGTCTATGGTGTGGATTTCGCAAAGAATCCGGAATACAAGGCGCTGTTGCAGGAATCGTACCACCAAGCGGTGTTACAGTCTTTGTATGGACCACATTTGGGAGTAAACTACCCAAATCTACCTCTATCCTACATGTACTACCCTGGTCACCCAGCCTTTGGCATGCCAATGCCATGCGATTTCGACAGGACGAGTCAGAGCGAAAACCGAACGGAGAACGACAAAAGCAACGGCGAAAACTCACAGACCAAAGATAAAACTGAAGAAAAAAGTAAAAGTCCGATCGCGTTGAACGAAAACAGCAATGAAAGCATGGCCAGTAATATAGAGGTAGAAAACTGAGCAAACAAAAGACAAACGGCACGGCAGCCTTTAGAAAAAAGAAAATAAATTAATTAATGAACAGATTTTAGTTCCTTATGAAGCTGGATTTCATGACCGAACCAAAATATAACCAAAATAGGTATGTTGAAAGAAGAAAGAAACCAATCCGTTAAAAGAACAAAATATTTATTAAATTATAGAAATTTAACAGATTTTAAGTTCATATGAAGCTGGATTTCATGAACGAAACAAAAAATGTAACTCACTTATATTGAAAACAGTAACCAATCCGTTTAAAAAAGAAAATATGTAATAGTAAATAAAATAAATAATAGATTTTAGTTCCTATACCTAAAGCTGGATTTCATAATACACTCGGCATCAAATAAATCGCACATCCCGCAACAAGCACTTTTCAAACGTATGCATCCTCACTTCCCACCAACATTGGTACCATTTGAAAGCCTAGTTCTAAACTTCATTTCATTAAATGAAAGGTTTTTACTCCAAAAATGTGTTTTTAGAAGGATCCAGCCAGAGGACACGTAAGATCATTATTTGGTTTTATAACCACAAAAATTTGTATAATTGGTCCCAGAGGTGAGGAGCCCCAAGTGAAGCCTTTGTTCAAGACACATTTTTGGTGTCTGTTGTTTATAAAAAAAATGTGTGGGCTTTCAAATAACACCAATATTGTTGGGGCACTATGATTGTGTCATGTCAGAAGAAAATCTTTAAAGTTCGCGTCGCGGGAGGTGCGGTTTATTTGATGCCGAGTGTAGAACCAAATTGTAACCAAAATATGATAAAAGAAAACAGAAACCAATCATTTAAAAGAAAAATATATATTTATTAAATTAAAGAAAAAACTGATTTTAGTTCATATGAAGCTGGATTTCATGTCGAACCAAAATGTAACCAAATTATTTTGAAAAATAGGTATATTAAATTACAAGAATGAACAGATTTTAGTTCCATACGAAGCTGGATTTCATAATAAAACCAAAATGTAACCAAAGTATGTTAAAAACCAAAACAGAAACCAAAGATCACTGAGTAGTTAGTAGAATTGTTAATGTTTAGGTTTAATATGTTGTAAATATGTTTTAACTGGTTGAATGTTTAGTAGTTACTACGCACATTTGTAAATAGTACAAAATAGAGTTAAATAAAAGTGCAATACAGTTTATTTTGTCTGTTGTTTTTCATATCCCTCGTGTAGATTTTAGGACTCTGAAATTGCTATCAGATAATAGGCTCTCCGCTCTACCGACTCTCTGCTGCCCTCAGAGCAAAAATAATCATACTTATTTTCCGGTTAAGATAGGTTGATTCAAAGTCTTAGGCTGAGTTGCACCACCATAATTTAACTTAAAACTCAAAAATCTGTCAAACTCCATAAAAAAAGCACCGGTTATCGTCATAGTTACCGTTAAAGTTAGGTGATGCAACTCGTCCTTAATCAAACTAGGAACAAAACAGAGATTTCAGTTTGAATAGTCCCACCTGGGAATTGAACTCTATTATCAAGATTATAGGCTTAATCCTGAATTATTTACACAACTGTAAAATATTATCTACTAAGTCGCAGATGGCTCTAAAATTGAGTTATTTCTTTAAAAATTATTTAAATGTTAATCGCTGTCTAAATATTATCCGTTTTGAAATCATAACAATTTCTGACCGAAGTATTTCTGGAGTGCAAAATATTGACTCTACCATAACATTCCTCCATTCCTGCACATTAAATGTAAAAACATAATATTGATTATGAGGAAAAGTTGTTAGATCAATCTCTATAAGAGCGAAAGGTCACTCATTGACTGACTCACTCATCACGAAATCTCAGAAACTCAATTTTGCATGGGGGTTTATTTTAGAACGTAGGTGCTAAGAACGGATTTAACGAAACTTCACCCATAAGGGGGTAAAACGGGATCCACCACGCGTACGAAGTCGCGGGCGGCCGCTAGTTAATAAAACTAGATAACTAAAATTTAGTCGTCGGTTATCGGTAGGTATATCTTTATCAGTCATTTTGTAGACCGTAATTTTCTAAAAAAAGTCTAGAAACATTCAGCTTTTAAGTATAAAATGACGCTGAAGCTTCTATCATTTAAATCGAATTAGAGACCCAAAGGAATATGGTAGCTTTTTAGTTTTTTTTACTGTAAATATAAACTCAAGAAAGATAGGCTGAGTTGCACCACCTACCTTCAACCGTAACGATAACCGTTGCTTTTTGTATGGAGTTGGGCATATTTTTGGCGTTTGCTATAGTTAAAGTAAGATGGTGCAACCCAGCCACAGTATTTCATACATAGTTCTTTCAACTAAAAAAAAAACTCACGAAGGCGAGCACATAACGATAGTGTAAAAACTTTTGAAAAACGAACAGTAGCGAGCCACCACACATGTAAAGCTCACTCGCCTTCGTGAATTGCAACAACTACAAAGCTATTACAAAAATGGCCGCCCTCGCCGGCTAATCACGCCGTAAGAAGTCCTCGGAGGCTGCGTCGCAAGTCGGAGGCGGGGCGGAGGGAAAGTGAAGAATGTCCTCGAATCACCGGCAAATTGCGGGGCTCCTTCGGCGAGGGGAGTGGAGGCGGCTTCTGGGAGTATTCTGGAACGTTATTATGCGATTGCGAACGCATGAATTCGAATCTGTTACTACAAATTACTATTTAGGTGAGTATAGATAGACTACGAGGGCCGGCTGATAAGTCCGCGGCCTATGGTACTTAATGGAATAAAATAAATAGTTTCTATTTTAAAAATTCAAAATTTCAAAATTCCGCAAATCTGCAGATTCGACTGACATGGTGATGTCCTTTGTTCGATAGATAATTGAACTATCACTGAAAAGTTAATTAGTGATTGCTTTTATAATACTACTGAGTGTCGCAACTAGTAACATGAGTAACAAGCTAATTACTCATCGCTAAGTAAGTACCTTAGGCCGCGAACTTTTCAGCCGCCCCTCGTACCTATACAGGCTGGAAACTCAGAATACGGAACAAACCAGAAACCGTCAACGGGCGTAAATGTGTATTCATATAAATTACTCCAAAACGCACTAGTTTGACTTTAGAGCAATTAGTCAATGGCCGGCGCGCGCATTGTTTACATATCCGTCAGATTGACACTTTATAATTAAATTATGCCGTCTTGTGCCGTTCCAACATGTAAGAATGCTACTGGAATTACGAAGAAAGTGCATGGGATCATGTTTTATCCGTAAGTAGCACATTTCCAATTCATTTTAATTAAATAATAATTTTCAAAAAAAATCACGGTTGTATTTTGTAAGCGTTGCCACAGGTCAACGGAATATTTTACCCTACTTTTTTATATTGAATTACATTTGTCTATAAAAAATTCACGCGTTAATTTTGTTAGCGTTACCACAGAATAATGGAATATTTTCCCCATCCTTTTTGTTTTAATTAGTTTTTAGTGTANTATGTTAGGCAAAGGAATAAATCCAGCTTTATTCGCTTCTCCAAACTTACTCGAAGGTTCGCCGATCTTGAAGCATTTTGCCGGAGTCTATGGTGTGGATTTCGCAAAGAATCCGGAATACAAGGCGCTGTTGCAGGAATCGTACCACCAAGCGGTGTTACAGTCTTTGTATGGACCACATTTGGGAGTAAACTACCCAAATCTACCTCTATCCTACATGTACTACCCTGGTCACCCAGCCTTTGGCATGCCAATGTCATGCGATTTCGAAAGGAGTCAGAGCGAAAACCGAACGGAGAACGACAAAAGCAACGGCGAAAATTCACAGACCAAAGACAAAACTGAAGAAAAAAGTAAAAGTCCGATCGCGTTGAACGAAAACAGCAATGAGAGCATGGCCAGTAATATAGAGGTGGAAAACTGAGCAAACAAAAGACAAACGGCACGGCAGCCTTTAGAAAAAAGAAAATAAATTAATTAATGAACAGATTTTAGTTCCTTATGAAGCTGGATTTCATGACCGAACCAAAATATAACCAAAATAGGTATGTTGTAAGAAAAAAGAAACCAATCCGTTAAAAGAACAAAATATTTATTAAATAAAAGAAATTTAACAGATTTTAATTAAGTTCATATAAAGCTGGATTTCATGAACGAAACAAAAAATGTAACTCACTTATATTGAAAACAGTAACCAATCCGTTTAAAAAAGAAAATGTGTAATAGTAAATTAAAGAAAGAATAGATTTTAGTTCCTATGAAGCTGGATTTCATAATACACTCGGCATCAAATAAATCGCACCTCCCGCAACAAGCACTTTTCAAACGTATGCATCCCCACTTCCCACCAACATTGCCTATTGGTACCGTTTGAAAGGAAGCCTAGTTCTTAACTTCATTTCATTAAAGGAAAGGTTTTTACTCGAAAAATGTGTTTTAGAAGGATCCAGAGTCTCTTCTTAGAGCGACATTAGTTATGGTTGATCCAACTTTTGGCTATAATGGCTATAAAGCTGGTAAATTGGGATTAATCACTATCCATCTGTTAAAAAGGACACGTAAGATCATTATTTGGTTTTTTAACCACAAAAATTGGCCTATGTAATTGGTCCCAGAGGTGAGGAGCCCCAAGTGAGGCCTTTTTTCAAGACACATTTTTGGTACCTGTTAATAGTTTATAAAAAAAGTGTTTTTCTTTAAGTTTATTTATTGGGCTTTCAAATAACACCAATATTGTTGGGATGATTGTGTCAAAAGAAAATCTTTACAGTTCACGTCGCGGGAGGTGCGGTTTATTTGATGCCGAGTGTAGAACCAAATTGTAACCAAAATATGGTAAAAGAAAACAGAAACCAATCCTTTAAAAGAAAAATATGTATTTATTGAATTAAAGAAAAAACTGATTTTAGTTCATATGAAGCTGGATTTCATGTCGAACCAAAATGTAACCAAATTATTTTGAACAATATATTAAATTACAAGAATGAACAGATTTTAGTTCCATATGAAGCTGGATTTTATTATTATGAAAATAAAACCAAAACGTAACCAAAGTATGTTAAAAACCAAAACAGAAACCAAAGATCACTGAGTAGTTAGTAGAATTGTTAATGTTTAGGTTTAATATGTTGTAAATATGTTTTAACTGGTTGAATGTTTAGTAGTTACTACGCACATTTGTAAATAGTACAAAATAGAGTTAAATAAAAGTGCAATACAGTTTATTTTGTCTTTAATTTTTTCTATCCCTGGTGTCAGAGTTTATGATTGTAATAAATATCAATGGCTCTACCAAACCATGCTCTCAGGGGGCCTAGTGCGAGTTTACATCAAACGCGCTCACTAGTGAGCGCGTCAAAAAATGACATTGAGGGCAGAAACTGCGCCGCACTATGGATCTAAATTGAGATTTATGGACATTCTTCTTTATATTATCGTTAAATCTTTAAAGATATTCCAAAAAAAGTCACTTTTA